ACAGAACGAATGAGATGATGGTGCTAGCTGGCTTGTGACAGCTATATGCGGGTAAATTGGAAATCGTGGTTTCACCGGTTGTAAAACATTGCAAGTTTGTGTTGCAATCGGGTTTGTTGTTTGGGGGCGGATCTCAAAATGGCAACGCTGCAACATCTCGGGCATTACTGTAAAGCGACAGTATGACAAGCCTGTAGCTGCCTGACGTTTTCCAGTGATCTGGCAGTATCGCAAAAATGTCAACACTCTCTGTCAAAGCCCCAATCTGTCTGGAGCGAGTGTTTTCGTGTAAAAGGCATGCTCCATCGAACGGCCAGATGACGGAGCCCGACAATCTCATAGGGTAGCTAATGAAACAAACCGGCCCTTCTCAGGCTCCTTGCATCGGAAGCCAACATATGCGTCTGTTCAGCAAGCCAGCGATGTCTGTCTTTCATGCACACGACTAGCAATGCCATTTGACTCTTGTGCATTACCATTGTCCAAGGCGCCTCGAAGACAGAATACTTCCTATCCCTTTTTATGTCTTCTCGTCGCTTGGAAATATTCTTGCGCTTCTTCATCTGCGTTTCCCCTTAATGTGTAATAAAGTAAACGATAAAAAGACATCATCTGATGACACCAAGTTTCATAAGGTTGTCTCGAAGAGAACAAAGACCCTCAAGAGTGTCTGAAGCCCGTTCTTTCAATGACTCGCATTGAAGACTAATGATCTTTGCTGCTTTCGACTCATTGCCGACAGCTAATGATACCGCACCTTCCAGCTGCTCTGCCCTTGAGCTCAGGGAATGCTGGAGCTCGATCACCATTGCAATCATCATTGAAGCTGCCGAGATTTTCGGGGCAACGAAAGAGCCTATCTTGATCTCGGGCATGTCGAACTTGGGCTCGTGTTCTCTGGGTAACAGCGGTACAGCGTGAGCACACATACGCCCATGGTTAGTGATCATGTCAAAGATATCCAGTAATCTTAGGTGACAGGCCATGATGAGGTGAATGAGGGACTGGTCGATTGGAATTCTGGGTTTTGAAAGTGAAAGTATCTTTTGTGCGTTATGTATGCAGTCCGGGGCATCACAGTTGATGTCCTCAGGTTCAAGTCGTTTGAGGACTTCAGGATATAAGTGAAGTAGCTTTTGTGAACGTTGTAGCAGATCTTCGAGGAATGATCCAAGATCAAATTTGCATATCTTCATGAACTCTGTGAGTTCCCTAGCAGATAAGTGATCTCGTTGCGAGGTTGGAAAGTTTGTCTGTAGCCGATCCAGCCCAGCCATGAGATCTGTCAACTGAGATATCTCAGTGACTTGAGCTGGTGGAGGCGGGTCTGTATCTTCGCTGACAGGCGGCGTTGTGATAAATTGATCTAGGTTGATGCTTGGAACTGGATCAATTGCAGGCTCATCCAAGCCAAGCATAGACCAGTCAAAAGCAACATTGTCGGGATGGCGTAGAGATCGAGTTGGAGGGCTGAAGCGACAGGTGACTCCAGCTTTGGCACAGCGAGTACAGACAGAAGATGCCGGGATCTTTGTACATTTTAACTTTTTACTGTGACATCGATCACACGCTTGTCGTAGATCTGACATGGCAGTGAATTATCTGGGACAAAGAGAGTCGCTTGCGTGTAATTGGGAAGCCTCGCGATAGTGGGGAAGGTGTTGTTCATCGAGGACAGGCATGGGCAACCAAAATACCCTAGACCTTCAAACTTGACATTCTGGCTGAAGCTGGGACAGTGGCTGAGCTGCAAAAGGATTGAGTTTGTCAATACTACAATTACTCTCATCTGGCTCAATAACGTTTTAGAGGCAACTAACTCCAAATCTGCCCATCGAACGGCGTCAAGATGTAAATAACAAAGCTTAATTGAGATTCCTGGTGATCAGCATCATTGGATCAATTCAAGCCCCGCTATGTCCCTTGGAGCTCATCGAAGCGTCAAAAATACACAACAGGCAAACAGACCTGACATTCTAATCAAGAATTCTTGCAGCAGATACAGTGATCGCAGCTGATGACTCACAAGGTCTCACTGTAATTTTATGGATTTTCGAGTCGTACTGTCGCGTGTTGTTTTGTTCACGTTACCTCGATATCTCCGATCCCTTGTCAGCATCGATCAACAACACCACTTACTGCCACCGGTAACTTAGAGCTTCCCCGCGAGACTTTCCATTTCCATTCCACTTCCATTTCCGCTTGAACCAACAGCTCCAACACAAAATCCTCAACCTCCCCATCGCATCATCTTTACCATGATTGCGATCCTGGATTTTGTACCTGACGCTCCCACTCCAAGGACATGTCGCTAATTCCCTACCAGCCCCATGAGGGCAGAGAGATTGTTCTGTACGTCATCGCTCTTCTCTTTGTTTGTTGTGCAAGGTATTCGTAGGTAGTAGCAAGCTAACCAACCCTTGTAACTTGCAGCCGTCACCACAACGCTATCGTTGTTCGCGATTCTCAATCACATCGACTCGAGATCAGAGGCATCTCGACTTGTCCTACATGCCATCAGCCGCTTACTCGTTCCGAGAATACTTCCGACCGAAGCTATGATTCCTTTGGTGCTCGGCAAGAGACCTATGTCGACCCCGATTACTTTCGCATGCTCCGCACTGCCAATGCGAATAACGATAATTCCGCCGATCACCCGCCGAGTCCAGTAAGAAGACTCTTTGGTCCTATCTTGGGCGGAAGTAGCCCGGCAGCAAATCAGACATCGCCGTCGCCAGCCCCAGATGAGGCCGAGTTTGTGTCGAGTACACCCGGTGTCGCGCAAGCGGAAGGCAGCAGAATACGGCGAGATGCATTCAGTCCCAACTACTTCAACACATTTTTCGTCGAAGAAAGAGTCCTAGGCAAGGGAGGCAAAGGTGTCGTGTTGCTTGTACAGCACGAAATTGATGGATGCGCCCTTGGTAAATTCGCTTGCAAACGAGTGCCTGTCGGAGATGATCACGCATGGTTAGAGAAGGTTCTCATCGAAGTCGAGCTTCTCGCCAAGCTTTCCCATCCAAACCTCGTGTCGTATCGGCACGTCTGGCTTGAGGATGTTAGACTCACCCGGTTTGGCCCCAGTGTCGCTTGCGCATTCATCCTCCAGCAATACTGTAATGGTGGCGACCTCCAACAGTACATCGTTGGCGGAGCACCACGTGAGGCGACCAAAGAGGAGCTCAAGGCTCAGATGCGTCGACGATCAAAGGGCCAGCTCGAAACTCCTGTCGATTTGTTGAACGGTAACCGCAAGCTCCCTTTTGATGAAATCTACACACTGTTCAAGGACATCACATCCGGCGTGGCATACCTCCACGCCGCCAACTACATTCATCGCGATCTCAAACCAAGTAATTGTTTGCTCCATCGTGAGGGTGGCAGAACGACATGCCTCATCAGCGATTTCGGTGAAGTCCAACCTGAAAATGTCGTTCGCAAGTCTTCAGGCACTACCGGAACCATCTCATACTGCGCTCCCGAGGTCCTCAAAATGGATGTCTCCTCAGGTCGATATGCAAACTTCACCACAAAGTCGGATGTTTTCTCGCTTGGTATGATTCTCTACTTTATGTGCTTCGGGAGACTTCCTTACCAAAGCGCGAATGCTCTGCAAGAAGAACTCGAAGATGTGGACGAACTTCGAGCCGAGATCACTCACTGGCAAGGGTTCCAAGATGAGCGACGTGAGCGCCCAGATCTTCCCTCGAAGCTATACAAACTCTTGAAGAGACTGCTGGCTCTCAACCCCAGCGAAAGACCCAGTGCCAATGAGGTTCTCAAGGCCATGAGAGGCGAGTCAATGACCTTCGAGAATGGTGCAAGTCAGGAGCCTGCACCAAATCTCGGGATCGGAACTCGCATACAGAATCTGGACTCGCCCGCTCCACCAAGTACGCCGGTTCCAGGTAAGTTTCTTTTTCTTGTGTTGTAACAAACCTACTCTTACAGTTCTATAGGCCCTCGATATCGTCATCAAACGTCAACATCAGACAAGTTTGAAGAGCTCGGTGCCTTGGCTAGGACTACTTCGAGAGATCTGTCGCCTACTAAGAGTGCACAAAGTTCTCGGCTGGATCCGCACCGCCAGTCTCTATCGAGACATCGTGGCTCACAGTCAATGGTTATGTCTCACAGCCAGGAAAGTCATCGTGGATCTTTTGTAACACCAGCCGTGAGCGTCAGCGACGCATCTGAGCACTCCGAGATGCACGAGAGGCGGAATTCTCAAAGCCCTCCACTTTTGATGCCGCCGCCTACAACCACAGCTGACGCTCTTAGACGGAGAGCAACTGTGTTTCTCATCCGAACCATGCATCTGGCAGGCGAAAACGCTGCGCTACTCAGCTATACCCTTCGCCTCGGCTTGTTTGGCATCAAAATGACTACTCTCACACGTCCCTGCTGGCCACTCATGGTCCAACCGAACGTAGGCATTCCACTCGTCTGTGTTGCAGCGCTAGATCTTGGCATGCCACAAATGACGAGCTATTCTCCTGCTCTTAGGCAAGGCTATGGAGATTACTTCACAAGCGGTCCACGAGCATGGGGCTTAGCTATGAGCATTCTCCTATTGGTCCTTCATTTTACTGTGTTGAGGGTTGCGTCAGGCTGGGCGACGCTGTGCGCCACGAATGAGCATGATGTTTGGGCCGATGGGCCGTGGTAAAGTGACTTGAAAAGTTGTAGTGATGCGAGATGATGTTTATATTGTGAATCAATGAAACCGTTTGGCCTGCTGATGCGTAAGGAGGGGAACGGAGCATACCTGAGACTGTTTGGCGAAACACATTTGTTCATGAAAGTAAAGCGACCATGATACAAAAGAAATTATAACGGAAAAGATTGAGAATGAAGGCGGTTTAAAAAGGGCCCCAAAAAGTGTTTATTAAAACAAAATAGAAACAAGGTTGACCTCGCCATGATACCATACGCTCTCCCGATATTATCAACACCAAATGATACAAACCCAACTATCATGGTATCATGCACTTACTAATTTAGATCTTCCGCAAAGACTTCTGCGTCAAGATTCTTCGTCTATCCATCTCCCTATTCGCCAATGCACTGCTCTTACTATGTGGCCCAATACGCTCACCATGGGTCAAACTGCCAAAGCCAAAGTCAGGCTCACCACCGAGGCTACCGAAGATATCTCCAATGTAGTTCTCTGCTCTGATACCATCTTTGAACGTGGTGTCCCAATCTTCAATAATGCCTTTGACGATCTCAATGCCTGCGTTGAAAATGTTGGCAATGGCGATTGAGAAGCCATTCTGTTTGGCGGCGGTGAGATGATCTAGGTCGGTGTAGTCAGGAGGAGGACGATCAAAGTTGGAACCTGCAAGGGTTAGCGAGATGATGAATAGGGGCTATGGGAGAGATCACCTGTCCTGTAGATCATGACTCTTGAGAAGTCGCAGATCTTTGCAATCGCTGCTCTGACGAGGACTTCCAAGATTGCATTATCCTCTTGAGCGCTCATGCAGTAGACGCCAGTGCCGTTCGTCCACACTTTGGTAGTATTCTCAAAGGACTCGGAGAGTCTGCTACCAGAGTAGTATACATCACTCGTAGCAGTGTCGCACTTGATGACAGATGGAGGTTGAGAGGCACTCTTATATGTCTCGCCCATTCGGCGGTAGAGTGCACGATACTCCTTTGGTCCATTCGCATCTTCCAGCTGAGCCTTGGATGCGAGCTTGTATGCAGCATTCTGCAGTTGAGCGTTGAGTTCAAAGACTTCAGTGCCATATGTGATAAAGGGCTGTTGATAAGGCTGATCACGACCATATGAGATATACCCAGTGGGCCAGCCTGGAGGAAGAGATCGTATATCGATCTCATACTGCAGCGCAACCTGGACTGAATAACGAGCGATGGCGACTGAGCCAAGAGTACCGTACTTGGGATTCACGCCAGCTATACCGGCGACGAGGAAGTAGGTATGGCGAGAGTCAAACTTGGGGGAGAGCATGAGAGCCATGAGTGAAGCGGCGGAGTTTATCTCCCCTTCGCCGATGGTGACATGGCAGATATTTCCATCTTCAGTACAGGTGGCGCAGGGGAAGAGCATGGAAAGGCCAGGGGCGTGAATAGTTTTGGAGGCGAGGTTGCCTAGATTTGAGCCTGGGAGGCGTTCGTGCCAGACTGCAGCTTCGGGAGACCACTGTAGTGTGGTGTTAGAGAAGTGGTATAAGATAGAGGACGTGGTTTACCATTGAGATGATCATGACTTTGGGGGCAAAGACTTCATCGTCTCGTGTATTTAGGGGACGAGGGAAAGCTGTTACTAGAGGAAAGAGGACGAACTGAAGAAAGAGGGCGAGTAAAGCTCTTGGTAGCTCCATGGTTGATAGACTTGAGTTGTTTGAAGAAGCCACTGAGGATCGAGGGGGAAGTCGAGAAGCTTTATCTGTGAATCACATCCAGACAATCTCAAGACTTACCAAGAAACATGTTCGAGACTCTCAATACCGAACCCGTTTCACAAACCCAATTCTGTCAAAGGCCGCCATGTGGATTCAATATCTCTGTTACCCCGAATATAGATTCAGAGCCCCGAAGGAGAATCCCAACGGGTATCCAGCAACGGATGTCGCCCTATCCAGGGCAAACTACAGCAGCGAGTCATGTCGAGGCATTTTGTGGTGAATCGGGAGCTGAATGGAGGACAATGACGGGATCTTTGATACGGGAAGTTGCTTTGTTTGGAGCATCATGTCCGTCGGATAGGGTAGCTCTGAGGGTGAAGGTTCTCCCCTGAGGGCGTTTATAGGGTGAGTTTAGGGGCAGTGACAGAAATGAAACGAAACAGAGCTGGATAGGATACGACACCATGTGCTCAATGTTTGGAGGTCGAAGCGAAAGACAACGCCATGTCTTGTGTTTGATTCAAGCTTAACATCTAACGACTTGGCATGTTTCTGCCGTTGATATGAATCTATATTTCTGTATTGTAACACTCTGTGCAAACAAGCTCGATGGGGAAGTTTGTTGAACAGGGTCGTGCAAATATCCCGGGGTCGATGTGAAGTTCTTGTGCAACTAATATGTCTGGAAATGTTCATCTGGGAATGCATGTCTCGGCCGGCAGGGTGCTGAAGCGATCGGGGAAGAGAGGGGGTCATTAATTGGACAGACGAGACGAGATTGGTTTGAAGTGAAGGATACGGTATTCAATATTCTGGCTTTACAGGTGGAAAGTGATAGGATGTCTTGACCACTGAACTGGACCGCCCAGTGTGGAATACAAATGTTACGGGGGAGACTATAAGGAGCAATCACGAGCATAAATTGACTTGTGCACCTTGTGTCCTTCGTTGATGTTTTGGGATAGAAGGATGGATTGTGAGATGTGAGGCTGTAGGGACAAGACCACACGGTGAGATGGAGATTGGTCTTGGTGTAGTGAGTCTGTGCTCATTGCACGTGGGTTGTGTCTGTACGTCTTGCTTTTTATGATCAAGATGGAGTTACTCTCGAGTTTGTGACGTTTTGACTTTTTCGTTGTAACGGGCGGGCTTGACTATTATCAACGGCTTCAATCGTCACCGTTTCATCGTGGATAGCCATTCACCATCTGGAGGCCGCCTTATGTAACTAAAAGTCTAATTCAACTCAACTCAACTACAACAATTACTCTCAACTGTACACAGACAATATCATGTAGTTCTGGGAACTTAGCCATCCAATAATATGCCTCTCTCCAACCTCCTATCGCAGCTCATCATCTCGGTTTATTTCTGGACCCCAAAGGTCTGGGCATCTTTGAAGAATGGGGCCTCGGGTTATCAGATGCGCCCGGATCCGCGTATCTGATTGATCTGCCTTGATAAACTGTAAATGTCATCGACTTGAGTCAATTATTCCAGTTTTTCTAGAATTGTTATGATACTCGCATCATCTGACTCGTTGGTAGATCACTTGGAGCAACCTTGGCAGAGCGAAGTTTGGCCTCATGAAGGATACGACAGTAACAAATGTATTGGCGTAGTATTTTGTTTGTTTTTCGCCAAGAAAAACTGGGTTGCCTCTTTTATTACTCAGCTAGAGACGGACAAGGAAGGTCAAGACCCAGGGGACGCGTGTAAGGTTTGAGATGGGGCTCTTCAACGCTGGGCTGGCTGTGCATGATCTGCCTCATTCCTCGTTATTTCCTCGTGTTTCAATTCTTAATTCGACGACGTTTCTTGACGTCGATGGCTCTCGAAAGACTCCAACACCAGAGGCTGCTGTGATGACGACGACGACGACACTAACCAAAAAGCTTCAGTCTCTCTTAGCACAAACGACGTTGCAGCCAAGCCGACCGCCAAGACACAATAGCAGCAGCACCAAGCATTTTCAGGATTACCTAGCCCCCCTAGAGTCTCGGCCCTTCCGAGATGATGGGCAGTGACAATATCAGTTCCCAGCCCAGCGTTCCCCAAAGTCAACTAGGTACGGGGCAGTCCCTCGGTCCTCTGTAAGGCGGACCAGTTACAGTGGGTTAGCGACGTGTCGCTGCTGATTGTTACTGGATATGGCGTATTTTTGGTCAAGGCGGACCAGCCGGGACCCCCAGACAGAACTGAAGAGAGACAGAGTTGCGCCGCCACAGAATAGAGATTGACCTGCCAAGCACCACTCACAATCAACTCTGCCCGCCAGAAGGTCATTTCCCGGTGGAGACAAGTCGTCCAGGTATGACGAGTTTTTCTTTAAGGTTCTTTATTTTCCTGCTGGTCCTGGCTGACTCTAACGCTTTCGGGGTAGAGTTTTGTAAAAGCCTCCCCCACGCTAGAGCTTGAGCATGATTTCAGTGCTTCCTCCACAATCAACCGTCCCGTCTCCTTCAAACCGTCTTCGATCCACCAACTGAATCTCTCTTCCTCTTCTCTTCTGTTTTGTTTTCAATCAACCTATCTCTGTGGCTCAGTGCCGTACCAGGTTTTCTGGATCAACGGCTGCTTCGCGCTCACAAACCTGTAACACAGAATCCCATTGATGGACGACATCACGAGTATTCCTGATTCACGCTATGGCGGCTCTGGCGAAGGGTCCAACTCTAACTCCAACTTTGACGCTGGTAGTCACGACCAGCCGAAGATTGATAACACGATGAATCCTCAACCCGAACCCCATGACGTCGACCCGCCCTTCGATTTGCACGACGACGAACATATCCAGGGCAACAACTTTGCTTTTACCCCGTCTCAACTACATCGACTCCTGACCGCCAAGAATATCTCCGCTCTGCGCGCGTTTGGAGGCTTGTTGGGTTTAGCCGCTGGTCTTCGAACCGATATCTCAGCAGGACTAAGCGCCGACGAAACAACATTGGATGGTACCGTCACTTTGGACGAAGCTGTAGCCTCTGGTAGCCTTGAACGACCGCCAGTTCTATCTGCAGCCTCCCCTCCACCGTCGCCGCCGCTGTTACACAATGGGTTATTCGAACATCGCGATAACCACTTTGTCGATCGAAAACGAGTATTTGGGGATAACCGCCTGCCCCAAATAGCACAAAAATCTTTCTTCAGACTATTATGGATAGCATTCAATGATAAGCTCATCATTTTGCTGACTATTTCTGCATCCATATCACTCGCTATCGGTATTTACCAGTCTGTGGACAAGTCGATAGGCGCATCGCGCGTTGAGTGGGTAGATGGTGTGACAATTGTTGTTGCGATCCTCGTCATCATCATCGCAAGCGCAGCGACCGATTGGCAGAAGAATTACAAGTTCAAGAAGGTCAATGAGCGAAAGCAACAAAGGGACGTCACGGTGATGCGCTCGGGTAAACTCCAGCGCATCCCCGTTCAAGATGTTGTCGTTGGTGATCTTTTACACCTCGAGGCTGGCGATGTTGTTGCCGTGGATGGTGTTCTTGTGCAAGCTTCGAGCCTGCAGATGAACGAGTCTTCCATCTCGGGAGAGGCTGACCTTGTACACAAGACTGTACCAAGGCCAAACCATGCAGCTACATCACGAATTGATCCCTTCATTCTCAGTGGAACCACTGTCGCGCGCGGTGTCGGTTCCTATCTCGTTACCGCCGTTGGTGTCAACTCGACTTATGGCCGTATCCTCATGTCGTTGAGAGACGACGTCAAGGAGACACCACTCCAGGCGAAGCTTGGCCGTCTTGGCAAGCAACTTATTGTTATCGGTGCCGTTGCAGGTTCCATCTTTTTTCTTGTCCTCTTCATCCGCTTCATGGTCACTCTCCACACCGTTACTGGTGGGCCATCTCAGAAGGCAGAAGACTTTTTACATATTCTGATTCTCGCCGTCACGGTCGTCGTCATCACTGTCCCAGAAGGCCTGGCGCTGAATGTGACCGTTGCACTCGCATTTGCCACGAAGCGTATGCTCCGAGATAACAACTTGGTGCGATTGATTCGATCTTGTGAGATTATGGGAAACGCGACGACGGTTTGCTCCGACAAAACAGGTACCCTCACACAGAACAAGATGACTGTCGTGGCTGGACGTGTTGGCCTGGAGTCTTACTTTGACGACACTGACCTGGTTGTTCCGGATCCCGATTCCTCCATGTCGCGTGCCTCGACTATCAAGTACGACAGTTCAATTGACATGGCAAAGTCACTCTCTCCAGAATGTCGGCGGTTGATCAAGGACAGTATCGCTCTCAACTCCACGGCCTTTGAGAATGATGACTCTGGTACCACTACTTTTATGGGTTCAAGCACTGAGACTGCTTTGCTACACTTTAGTCGTCAGCATCTTGGTATGAACAATTTGGCCGAGGAGAGGGCCAACTGCCCCATTGTTGCGATCCTTCCGTTCGACTCTTCCCGAAAATGGATGGCAGTCTTGGTCAAGATCAATGACGATCGCTATCGACTTCTCGTCAAAGGAGCAGCGGAAGTTGTGTTTGAGTATTGTGCTTTTGTCGTTTTGGACCCTACATTTAGAGTACCAATTGCACGGCTCTCGGAGAATGACCGTGCAAGCTATCGTAACACAATTGAGGACTACGCCAACAGGATGCTTCGACCTGTCGCCATTGCATACCGAGACTTTAGCGCGCAGGATATCTTCGATGGCCCAGACGACGACCCCGATAACATCAACCTAGAATGGTTGGCCTCTGGCATGATCTTCATCGGTGCCTTTGGCATTCGTGACCCATTGCGCCCCGAGGTTGTAGAATCGGTTCGTCAATGTCAGGCTGCTGGAGTATTCGTTCGCATGGTTACAGGGGACAACTTCTTGACCGCCAAGGCTATTGCAACGGAATGTGGTATCTACACAGCTGGTGGCATTGCCATGGACGGACCAACATTTCGAGACTTGACACCCGAGCAACTTGATGCTGTGATTCCAAGACTGCAAGTCTTAGCTCGTTCAAGTCCTGAGGATAAGCTGCTTCTGGTAACACACCTAAAGCGAATGAATGAGACGGTCGCTGTGACCGGTGATGGTACGAATGATGGTCTGGCATTGAAGGCGGCGGACGTCGGGTTTGCTATGGGTATCCAGGGTACCGAAGTTGCCAAGGAGGCTGCATCCATCATCCTTCTTGACGACAACTTTGCCTCCATTGTAAAGGCTTTGGCATGGGGTCGGACTGTGAATGACTCCGTCAAGAAGTTTTGCCAGGTAAGGTTATCAATCAATATGGTCAGGATTTTTGCTAACCAAACGATAGTTCCAATTCACCATCAACATCACCGCAGGTATCATCACCGTCGTTTCCGAGCTCGTTGGTGACGCTGTCTTCACTGTCGTTCAATTGCTTTGGATTAACTTGATCATGGATATCTTTGCCTCTCTTGGTTATGCTACTGATCACCCCTCGCCCGACTTCCTCAAGCGAAAGCCCGAGCCTCGTAACGCTTCTATCATTTCCATCACCATGTGGAAGATGATCATTTGCCAAGCCATCTACCAGTTGATAGTCATCTTTGTCGTTCACTACGCTGGGTGGGATCTCTTCAACCCCGACACTGAATTCGAGATTGAGAAGCTCCAGACATTGGTGCTCAATATCTACGTCTGGATGCAGTTCTTTAATCAACACAACTGTCGCCGCGTGGATAACAAGCTGGATATTTGGTATCAAGGATTCTTGCGCAACCCTTGGTTCATTGGTGTTCAACTTATCACTATCGCTGGCCAATTCGTTATCGTCTTCAAGGGAGGCGAAGCATTTGACACAACGCCCCTTACAGGTGCCCAATGGGGATGGAGCTTGCTCTTTGGTGTCATGTCAATTCCACTGGGAGCCTTGATTCGACAGATCCCTGATAGCCTAGTCCAGAGCCTGTTCAACTTGATCGCGGACTCCTGGCTTGCAATTTGGCGACCGACTCGCGCGCTCCTGTCGAAGGCCTTTAGCTGCTTCAAGCGTAAGAAGGCCGATGACAAGGAAGCCCAACAGCCAGAGCAAGAAATGGGTCCTGTTGAGAACATCCTCCACATGATGCACTTGACCCACGAGCCGGACGAAGACGAGACGCCCATGACACAAGAACAGCGTGAAGCAATGGAGAGGTCGGACCAAACACGAATGATGAAAGAGAAGGAAAAGAAGAAGCGAGATATCGACTTGCACGGCCTTGTCGAAGCCGCCAAGCTAGGAAGAGAGCACAAGGGTGCCATTTTGGAGATTCACCCCAAGACACTCAAAGACGACCCAATTCTAAGGACCAGTAGTGGTAAAAACAGTACGCTGCCACCAAGTCAAGACGCTGAATTTATGAAATTCGTAGCCATAAACACACGAAGGCCTCGACAGCCGAGACGAACAAATCCTCGAGCTCCGGCACGACCGGCTCAACGACGACAGCAAGAGCAGAAGAGTTCCTGGAGACATCATGTTTCGTGGGAGGGACTACTCAGATCTAAGAGACGATAATGGGCACGATTGGTGCATTCATACAAATGATATTTTTAAGAGGAGGGTATATAGTAGACAGGTTGTCAAAGAAAAGACCTGTGCTGTGTTCTTGTAAATGACAGATTACGACGTTATGACAGATAAAGGGATTCGAGATACCAATATACAGGTCGCTTTACTGGGCCATAATAACAACGCTTCCATCCCAAACTTTTTGCAATATCCGATTCCAAATGCCTTGATAGCGATCTAATCCTTTCGTGTGTGTCCATCTCGTTAAATCATAAAACTTTTTATCATGTGCTCATCCTGTTTTGATGATGGCTTCCTCAATCGCACTCCCAATCTCGGACCTCGGTATTCCCGGCCCCCGCATCAAACAAAGCGATCTCGTAGCGAGCGACTTTATAAGCGCTGGTATACTCACCCGCACTGTGACAGGACCAGATTTTGGCTCCGTGGGAAACGAGAAACAATTGACGAAACTCCAGCTCTCGGGCTGTTTCGGTACAGCGTGTCCAACATTCGGCATCGGCGAGTTGTTCAGATTGAGTTCCATAGTTTCGGCGTCCACAACCCTGGCGCCAAGTGCGAGGAGTTGCTTCTCAACTCCAACAACGCTGAAGAATCGTGTGAAGTGGTCGATGCGTGTTCCAGCCGGTCGTGTAGGCCACGGCCATTCTATATCCTCCACCGTAGAAGGGTTGAGCTCCGCGCGAGAATAAACATACTGTCCATATCGTCCATACGGTAGATCGATAACGCGATACATCTCGTGTCGACCCGGGCCAATAAGCCAGCGTAGCCGTGTGAGCATCTCGTCTTTGGCGCGGCCTTTGAGGGTGTTGCAGAAGAGGCGCGATTCACAGGCTGACATTTCGTAGGGCGGCGGTGAGTTTACGAGGAGGTGACATGCTATTGTTAGTATGTCGCAGGCGAGACGGAGTGAAAATGCCGAGTGCTGTGTGGACGAAGGGACGGCGAGATCGCCGGGTGATGCAGGGGTTGTGCCGAGCCAGCCGTTGCCGAAGATCTGAGGCGAGAGAGAGAATGTTGGTAAATTGAAGGATTTGGCCATTGATGTTTGCTGAGAGTTGAAGTATGGTGGTGTTGAGAGTGAAGATGGGGCTGATGTCGATAAAGATGGTGGAGTTGGCGTAGAAACTGAAGTCATGGCCGTTGACGTAGGCGGTGTCAGCGTCTGAACCTGAGTCTTTCTCACAGCAACAGCCATCGAACCCGAAGAATCCTCCGTCGTTTCACTCTGCTCACTCTCCGGCGAACCAGAGCTTCCGCGCTTCCTATCCTCCCCCTCCCTCGGCATCAGCACAAGATCCTCCTCCGGCCCAACAACCTCATGCGCCAGCTCCAGAATCCTCTCCATACTTCTCCTCAAACTGCCAACAAGACTCGGCTGGGCTCTGACCACAGCTTCAGTGGTGAGCATCTCGTCCACGAAGGACATGAAGACGGAGCTCATCTCCTCGACTACCTGCTCGAGGCGACGCACGCGCTGGGCCTGTGCAGCTTCGGCGGCTTGGCGACGGCGGCGGAAGATGTTTTGGGCTTCGCGGTTACGTTCGCGGCGGGCCTGAGGGATGTAAGTGGAGGTTCAATGGGGAGAGGGAGAAGGAGAAGGGGGATGGACCTTGAGTGCTGCATCGTCGTGGTCTTGGTTGTTTGAAGATAAGCGACTTCTGCGCTTGGGGGGTGACTGCGCAGTCATTATATAAGTGGATGAAATATGAATATGAGGATGAGTGAGAAGAGGTAAGTGAAACAACGTCAGCCCTGCAGCTTTGTGAGAGGCTGTCGGGTAAGTCGAAACTAGCTTGCGACACGAGTAGATTGACTGTAAATAAAGAATATGGCAAATGGGGTGACACGTGAATGAAGAGAAAGTTATTTGGTGTTACAAGGTGGCGATGAGATGAAATGGAGACGTTGGAATCTTCGGGACGTTTTAGAGTCGCACTTGTATCCCCGTGACCTTTTTCGGGTTAGTGGCTTATTAATCAAGCGATGATCAAATCAATCTTCGAGGCTGACTTTAATGGGCCCACTTTGACTTTAAATCGTGGGGGAGGCTCTCGACTCCATCAGATTGAGAAGAATTATACATGTACAATATCCAAATGCCCCTGAAGATCAATCAATTAAATTCCTTACCGCCCTCCCATATCGAGTCTCCAACCACTCGCGCAAAAGCATCTCTTGCTTGCAGCAAATCATGATACGTTCCCTCCTCTACCTTGGCGCCATCCTCCAGGACAACAATCCGATCCGCAATTGCCATCATCTCTTTGCTATGCGTCACCACCACAATTGCCATATCTCGCCTTGACTTCTTAGCAATTCTTTGCATCGTATGCCGAATCATTTCTGCGCTCTCTGCATCCAAAGCACTCGTAGGCTCGTCCAGCACAAGAAGACGAGGCTTGCGCACAAGTGCACGTGCGATGCTGAGACGTTGCGCCTGGCCACCTGAAAGCGCTTGACCTCCGTCGCCGACTCGAGTATTGTATCCATCCGGAAGGGTTGTGATGAACTCGTGGATACCGGCCGCTTTCGCAGCAGCTAGAATGCTAGGAAACTGACGGAGGTGCGATACTTCGCCTAAGCCATACACGATGTTCTCTGCAATGGTAGCTGGGAAGAGGAATGGCGTTTGTGGCACATATGCCATCATTGATCGGAGATGCTCCATATCGACGTGCGCATGGGAATATCCATTGAAGCTTAATGGTGGCCTTGTGCTGAGGATTTCGGTTTTGGTGGGAGAATAAAGACCCAGCATTAGCGAGACCACCGTCGACTTCCCGCAGCCTGACCGACCAACAACCGCCAGAAAGTCTCCAGCATCCACCTCAAATGAAACCCCTCGTAAGACTGGCCTCTTCGAGCTTATCTTATATGAGAACCCGAGATTGTCAAGTCGAACTGGGAGTGGTGTTTTGGGTGTGTAGTATCCGTGAGGCTCGCTTTTTGGTACTAAAGGCATGTTGGCGTACCCCAACATCTGCGCGGCGGTTGACTGGGCCATCGTGACTTGTGGTATCGTACTAAGAATACTCGTCGCTGTGCCCATACTGAACAGAAGCAGATTCACTACTGCTACAACGGCCGTTGCTGTGATGGCCTTCTCCGAAGCCAGAAGCACGGTACCGTAGTAGAACACAAGTGCTGTAAGGGGGTAGTTGACTGATTGATACAGTCCATACAGTGTACTGGTGTAACCTGCCCTGTTCTGTCCTAGGCTCAAGGTGTGTCTCACTGCTTTCATGTACTTGGCACCCATGCATCGTTCTAGAGTGAGAGCTCGAACGACTCGGATGTTGAGGAAGATCTCGGTCAAAGTCGCGCTCGCATCTTCGGCTCCTTTGTTGCAGCGCGCCTCCCAATTTCCACTGATAATGGTATAGCCTTTGATTGCGCCCATAACGACAGGCAGCGGCGCGAGAGTGACGAGCGTGAGTTTCCAGGAGATGACGAGCGCCCAAGCAACAGCAGCAATGATCATGACGGTGACTGTGATAATGATGGGCAAGAATCTCCCAACAATGTTACGCATCTCTTCAGCATTTCGGTCAAGACACTCATTAATACGGCCTGGAGAGTTGCGCGACCGGTCGAACCATGCTCTTGGCTGTCGGAGGATTCGTTTTAGAGCTTCGACTCGAATGGTGTTGATCCAGGCTTGTCCCACCATCTCAAGGAGATATCGACCGCCGCCGGTGCAAACACCATCCATCACCGCAATGACGATGAGATAGATAGCCCATCTCTTGCCCTCTGCTAGCTTGTCACCTTGTGACCACATCGCACCCAGGAGCTGCGCGAAGCAATATGCAAATGCAGGAATAGAGCCTGCTCCAACCAGACAGGTCAGTACTCCGAAGATAAGAAGAAACCGATGCCCACGCCCTAAAGCTGGCCAGACCGTCTTCAATATTGAAGCTAGAGGCATTGGCGGAGGGAGATCCTTAGTCCCGTTGTCTTTTTCATCCACCTTGTCTGACTCGAGCGTGTCGTTGTACTTGGTTTGTCTGAGTCTCGTAATGCTCTTGGGACGCTCAGCCCCGCCAAACACGTACTCTGGCTCGTCGAGTGACATCAGTGTGCACGATGTTTCCATACCATCCAGACTGCTGTGAGATCTCAGCGTACTGTCGTGCTTCTCGTCGTAGAAACTGGCCATCTGATGGTTATCGGCGGCGGACTTTGATCGTACAGGCTCAGGTTCGGGTATAGCCACAGTAAGGGGTTGCATCTCCCAAGCTCGGGCTGTCCGCATGCGAAAAGCGGCTGCTGTATTTGTGCCTAGAGTCAATCGTGTAGAGGCGCTTGTCGGGGCTGGACTGAAAGACTCTAATCCTCCAACGACTATTTGTGAGAGCCGCGAAGCTCTGCCGGGAGGGGGAAATAAAGGGGAAAGGGGTGAAAGAGGAGAGTTTGGAGAGTCGATGGTAATATCTATCGGCGTGTCTGGTTCCTCTGATGCGGTAGATGCGAGGGTGGCGAACGTACCGCCAATCTGCATATCCAGATCCTTTCTGAAACCCTCTTGGACAAGGGATGCATTGTCCATCACGTAGACAAAGTCATCGGCGTCGATTTGCGCGACGTCGTGCGTGATGATAATGGTTGTTTTCCCTCGTCGCCATGCCCTAATCGCATCCATGATGAGCACACGGCTGACCTGGTCAAGGCCACTTGTGATCTCGTCCAGGATGAGCACTGGAGGGTCTCTAAGTCGAGCTCTGGCAAGCGCTAATCTCTGCTTCTGTCCACCACTCAAGTTGTATCCATCGGCCCCGACATTGGTATCTAGACCTTCAGGAAGTCGTGCAATCGTCGACTGAAGCAATGCTGCATCACAAGCTCGCATCACCTCGGCCCGCGTTGCTCTTGCGGGGTCGTGGTGCCCAAAGGTTACATTTCTGAAGAAACTCTCGTTGAATAGTACGCTGGATTGCTGGACCAAGGTAATGTTCTCACGGATCCATTGCTTGTCAAGTACCCGCAAGGGCTTGTTGTCGACATAGACGTCTCCACTCAGGGGCTCATAGAAACCTACAATGAGGTTACCCAATGTGCTCTTTCCGGAGCCGCTCCTTCCGACGATAAAGGTCATCTCACCCGAGGGGAAGAAGAAGCTGGAATCGTGAAGTACCTTTTGTGCCGGATTTGAGGGGTATGCGAAACACACCTACTAAAGTCAGCCATTATCTTTATCAATATTGGCAGAACTTACGTCTTTTAATTCGATATCGCCACTGCAACTCAGTGGCCGTAAAGCTCCTGTCATCGGTTTGACAATCTCCCCGTTCCTCACGTTCCGAGTGATACTGGAGAGAAAGCTGCCGGCTGACATACCTTTGGCAAGAACCAGCCACTGAGGCATCAAAGCTTCAATGCCCTGAAACGCCGCGAGTGTTGCATAAAAAGTTGTCAAAACACTGCCAGCGGCAAGGCCGTCGTTGTTGACGAGCACAACACCATACCAAAAGCCGACGACGAACATGGCTACGACCCAGAAGGCAACGTAGCCCATTTGCAGAGCATTGCATTGTGCTTGGATCAGATAGTGCTTCGCTGCAGCTTTGGCAGTGGGGTAGTACTGCCAGACCTCTTGATCGTAACCGTTGAAGACCTTGACGAGATCGATGGCTGTGATTGAAGCAACGGCGAATTTGGAAGCGACTGCGAGCTCACGCTTCTGTGCTTGGATCGCGGGCTCAAGTCGATTTGTCGCCAGTGAGAGGACTATAGCTGAGATTGGAAGTGTTGCAAGGAGAACGAGGGTAAGTTTCCAGGAGTAGTAGAGGGCGATACCGAGGGAAGCGATTGAGGTGATGATGTCGCCAACGAGGAGGCCGAGAACCTGGGAGGTCGCGAGTTGGAGCTCACGAGTTTGCCTATCAACTGTTAGTCATTTGTGAGTGCAGAAGAGGGATACCTACGTCTGTATTCTGATAAGAAGACTTGAGATGCCCTCGGATTGAGAGTCAAACCAGGCCATGTCCTTGGAAAGGAGACTTGTAAAGATGTCTTGCCGAACACTGCATGCCTGCAACTCTCCAAATATGACCCAGAGAGTAAGGAACGCGGTGCTTGCGATCCAATTGCCAATGCCTAGTCCTACAAGGACAAGCGCCCATCTTCCCACCTGCGAAAGGGCTTCATCCCCGCTGAGCGATCCATTCCCAAAGCCCGCGATAATATCGAAGACTTTTCCAAGAATGACGGACAGAACGGTTTTGAAACCTGCTGAGAAGCCAGCCGCAAGCAAGGCAGCGATTAAAGCGCCAGAGCGTGATCGTCTTGTAAAGAGAAAGAGCTGTTTCCACGATGATTTAACGTCTTGTTCCATTTTTGAAGTAAATGGAAATGGAGTATCATGCTGAGATTAAGGAGGAAACACTTGAAGAAGTGTTCGAAGTAATCGAGGCGACATGGCGATACGATAAATCCAAGTGTTTGGGTCGACAAAGAACAATATCAAAGGGTCAGTGTTGTGATAGTGTGTGCACAGACGAGGCTGCGGCCAGGGGCTTAGTATTGTTCTTGTTGATATTGTTCAGCCTTCGGCCCCACACGAAAATTATTGGCGAAAAGTGCACTGCGTGAGAGGGGAAGATTGGGAGAATTGACTTGATTGTTTTTGATAGGCTTCTGCATCGGGTTTTGGAAGGCTGCCGAGGGACTGATTGGTGTTGGTGATGG